ATAGACATAGAAAGATTGCATTCATCTGGGGAACATAAAGTAACAAAATAGGAGACTAACACCCAAGAGTGGACGAGATTTGTACCAGGAGTTTTGCTCCATGGCTTGGAGGCCAGCCACACATGCTAGGGGGAAAGGCAGCTCAGATAGAGAAGGGAGCACCAAATAAAGGGTGTTGGGAGGATCCTCCCAGGATAGGAGAAGCATGCTGAAAGTAAACTATAGACCAAACATGATTGCCACTCAATTCCTCTTTTGCAAAACCACAACACCCAAAAGGAGAGAGAGAACAGAGGGGAATGCCCTGTCACAGAGGCAGGGTGGGATGGGGGGGGGGTAGGGGTGGGAGGGTTACTGGGACCCGTGGTGGTGGAAAATGGGCACTGGTGGAGGGATGGGTATTTGATCATTGTATAATTGAAACCCAAACACAAAATTTGTAATTCTACAACTGTACCTCATGGTGTCTCACTAATAAAAATTAAAAAGAAAAAGAAAAAAAAGAAAAAGAACCAATGTAAGTGGTATAGTGATGTGGTTATGGAAAAGAAAGGAATGCTCATCTACTGCTGATTTAAATAGACTCTGTTTCAGAGCCTAAATCAAACAGTGTAGAGATTTCTCCAAAATCTAACACTAGAACTCCTATATTACTTGGATTTTATACTTAGTGGCTTATAACCACCAAACACAAAGAAATAAATTCGAAAATGTACATGCACAAGCAAGTTTATTTCAGTAGTATATATATAATCATGCAAGAAACAGAAATTTCCCATAACAAAAATGTCGTTTATATACACAGTAGAATATTATGCAGCCTTAAGAAAAGATAAATTTATGAAGCTATTTGAAACCTGGACAAAACTGGAGGTTATTATGGTGAGTGAAGAAAGTCAGAGAGAGAAAGATAAACATCAGATGTTTTCACTTAAGTGTGACATAGAGATGAAAGATGGAATGGAAGTTACCAATGAATTACAAGTCCTTGTTTCTGCATAACAGAAATGAGAATACAAAAGTAAAATTGGGAGGAGGTTAGTAGTCTGCCTGGAAATATCATGAGGACATTCTCAAGCATCCCTGGCATCTTGGTGGTTTAGATGAGAGATCATTGTGTAGATGAAAGCCACAGAAGAGAACTTTAATGTAATCCTATGAGCAATATTTGAATTAAGTTAATTAGAACACAATTGTTGAGCAGAAGGAGCAGTACAGTGGGTGGTATGCTGGATTTCTGTGCAGCTGACCTGGGTTCAATCCCATAAGGTCCGAAGTGAACCATCAGAAGTGAATCCTGACAATACAGGAAGAGGTGATTCCTGAGCACTACTGGGTGTGGGTAAAACCATAACAAACACACAAAACACAATTGTTTACCAAGAAAGTTCAAGTAGGTCCAGATAAATTTTGGCTCCTAGATGAGAGGACGCTGACACACTTGGTGGGTTTGGAGATGAAGAACTGAGTGCACAGAACTATTATCAAGTTAATTATGGTAGGAAATGAGAAACAATTGAGGCCAATAGGATTAGAAATAGAGATGTGTCACCTCTTAGACCTGAGTTGCTGCTTTCTGAACATGATGCCCTGAACTGAGAGAGAATTCATCAGGATGGGCATTTACCTGGCATATAGCAGACCGGGCTCAATTCCCAGCACCACAAATGGGTACTGAGACTAACCAGGAGCAAAGGAGAACCACCCGTGCACCTTCCGGTGTGCACCACATTCACAACCGGAACACGATGCCCTGAGTTCGCACTGCCCTGTGGTCTTCCACAACCCAGAGCAGACAGGCAACTGTGGGGGTCCAGGATACTTTTAGGGACTCCCACCTTGAATCATCCCATCACTGTGGACCTGAGACCCTTCTGACACCGAGCCCATGAAGCTCACAGCATCATTACCTGGACACCCACCTTGGGGCCACCAGGATACATTCTGAGTTGGGCTTGAGAGACCCTTCCTCAGGACTCCCTCAATAGTTTAGTCTGAGGCTGAGAAGGAACGATGGACCCCAGAGCCCACATCGCTCAGACATCAGCATCAGAATCCCTGAGTTCTGAGGAGGAGGAAGTAAAACGCGCACCCCACACCCATGACTGGACTCCCTTTGAGCTGTGATGGAGCAGAGCTAGGCTGTGTGGGTCCCTCCTGTCCTCCCGCGGGACAGGACACCTGGCCTAGCTGGGCCCTTCTGATGCAATCCTGAAGCCGCTCCCCTCACTGGGCTCCTGGCCTCTACAGAATGTGCCCTCCAGGGAAATGAGGCAAGGTCACATCCAGTTGGCATCTTTTGGGACCTGAGAGCTCCAGGGGAACAGAGGAGGTCTCTAGGGGACTCACTGTCCTCTCTCGCCCACACTTTGACTCCAGCAGGGCTGCTTCTGCCAATTGCCATATCAGCCTGCTCTCCTTGAACTTAGGCTCTGGATCCCCAAGTTCCCAGTTGGGGTAAGAGAATGTGAAACCTCAGAACCACCCTGGGCCCCCCTCAGTGAGCAGCTGGATCACTGTCTCCCCTCCCTGTAGAAAAGGTGCTTGTTGCCTTCTCACACAATAGAATCCCTCCAACCCTCACAGGAAGGGCTGAGTCCCAGGAGCAGAGGTTGAAAGAGATACTTCACTACGGGAGGTCAGAGAACAAACTATCCTGGGGGGGGGGGGGGGGTGGTCTCCTTAGCAGCTAACGCAGATCGGACACAACATCTTCTCAGGATCTGAAGAAGGAACAATGTGAGGTGCAGAAACTCTGCACTGCAGAGACCAGCTTCTCCCCTTCTGCTGCTTATCTTGCAGAGGAACCACAATTGTCAGCTTCAGACAAGTCTCGGTCCCATTTAGAGCTGGCCAAGGGATAGACTAGGTGAACCAGTTCCTTAACATTTCCCTGGGTTTCTTTTTCTTCTGTTCAGCATGCGTGCAGAGCACGACAGCAGGTAGGGCGTTTGCCTTGCATGCAGCCAACATGGCCGACCCGAGTTCGATTCCTCCGCCCCTCTCGGAGAGCCTGGCAAGCTACCGAGAGTATTCGATATGCCAGACACAGTAACAACAAAGTCTCCAATGGAGACGTTACTGGGCCCGCTCGAGCAAATCGATGATCAACGGGAGGGCCTTTACTTTACTTTACTTTTACTTTACTTTACTGTTCAGCATAAAACAGCTCCATCTAGAGTCTTATGGGTATAACAGTAATAATAAAGAATATGTGTGTGTATTCTTGTGAGAAAAACCTGGCTAGGGACTGGAGTGAAAGCACAGCAAATAGGGCGCTTGCCTTGCACGCGGTGCCTACCGGGGTTTGATTTCCAGCATCCCATAGGGTTCCGAGAGTACCGCCAGGCATAATTCCTAAATGTACAGTCAGGAGTAACCCCTGTGTATCACCGGTTGTGACCCAAAGAGAAAAAAAAAAAGATACATCTGGCTAATGATGGACAAATACTTGGATCATGACCTCAAAGCATAACAGGAATAGAGAGCCATCACACTTTCACTGGAGCTGGAGCGATAGCACAGCGGGTAGGGCGTTCGCCTTACAAGCGGCCAACATGGCCGACCCGAGTTCGATTCCTCCGCCCCTCTCGGAGAGCCCGGCAAGCTACCGAGAGTATTCGAGATGCCAAACACAGTAACAACAAAGTCTCCAATGGAGACGTTACTGGGCCCGCTCGAGCAAATCGACGATCAATGGGAGGGCCTTTACCTTTACCACACTTTCACACCTGGAGGGGTATTCAGGAGATCATTTCTGTTGTCTCTGTGGTACCGAAGGATCTCTGGGAACCAATGTATTCAAGTATATTATCACACTAGTAATTCAACTAGTCCATGATCATCCCTGAGGGATTAGTGCCAAGCAAATCCAACTCTAATTCCTGCCAATTTCACGGCCCAGAAAGTTACCTGATTCAGGTAGTTAAAATAGATTCCTCTCCCCAGAAACCCATTGCCCATCCCCCCTTTCATTTGGAGGGTGTGTCTTACAAAGCCTCACACATTCTTCATTCATTGAGGAGGTCATGACACTGTCACACTTATAATGTGTAAGGGAGCATAGCACTCATCCTTGTGCCACTGATAGTTACCCAAGAGCTCGGTGCAGACCTGCCATATGCAACACTGTAGTACTGTAGCACTGTCCTCCCGTTGTTCATTAATTTGCTGGACTGGGCCCAGTAAGGTCTCCACTGGGAGATTTCTTGTTACTGTTTTTGGCATATCTAATAAGCCACGGGACGCTTGCCAGGTTTTGCTGTGCAGGCAGGATACTCTCGGTAGCTTGCCGGGCTCTCTGAGAGGGACAGAGGAATCGAACCCGGGTTGGCCACGTGCAAGGCAAATGCCCTACGTGCTTTGCTATTGCTCCAGCCCAAAATTATTAATAATATAATTATTAGTAATACAATTATTAATAATACAATTATTAGTAATACTATTATGAGTAATACAATTATTAATAATACAATTATTAATAATAAAATAAACACCCTTAAATTTTAAGTTTTAGAGAACTTAGAGCAACCAAATAAAATGGCTCTCTGATAGTTTTGCCATGACTGAGTTCCACTGATGACTTCTGTCATATTTTCATGGCAATTCCTTTTCCCAGATTGTTATCTTTGATAACTCCCAACAAAAGACAAAAATTTTCCCACTCTCTTGAACTAAGAGCACTCTCCCTCCTAAACATGGCATGCACACATATTTGCAACATCAATTCATTCACAAGCTTAGATAAAAAACAACAGTTTGTTCAAGAAAACACAACATTTAATAGGCTCCTTAAGGAAAACAAGATTGATGTACAAGTCATCACAAGGAACAGGAACACCAGGATGCTCTCCAGAAGGTGCCCCACTTGAGCTACTCGCCAACATTTGGAATCTTGATGGCACAGTGAAATTCTCTGTCACCCTAGCTTGGAATTCGTCAACATTTTCATGGGAATGAGGATCTTTATCTAAGAACGGGAGGGACCTGTCACCATTATTTCAGATATTGAGCAAAAAATTCAGGACTTCCAATGCACTGGTTTCTCTGTGGGCTCTGGGGCCCCAGAGGAACTGATAGCGGGCTGGATAACTTCCAGGCTCCCTCTGGTAAGCTATGTAATGCTCCTTCACCCACACATTGGTGAGGAGCTCCCTGGGCTCCCCATAAATGAAGTGCTTCCTCCCAGGATGAACTCCCATCAAACCTAATTGTTTCCACATAGCCTGCTCAGAGGCACAATCATCCTCCAGAAGGATGATCCCCAGGACTATCACCAGCAGGCCCGTGGTGGGCATGGTATGCTGAGGGCTCACCATCCCATCATAAGTGAGGCCCAAGGTGGTGAACAAAGCATAGATGTGGGATTTGGGGTATATTTCCTTCACATCAATGCCAAAGAGCACCCGCATGCACTGAGACACCTGGCTTAGAATGTAAGAGAAGTTCTCCTCATCATTGTTGAGGATGGTGTTCAACATCACTTCCTTTGAGGTCAACGGCATAGTGCGGTACGTGAGGAGCAAGAACTCCACCAGACCGGACATCTTGCCATACAATGCCTCCTGGAGGCTGGCCCCAGCTTGTGCTGGCTCCTCCCTATCTTTTAGGCCTTTCTCTTTTGGGCTGCAGGAACTGCCAATTTTGGGATGGCTGTCTAGCTTTTCAGCCATGGCCACCATGAAGTGCTGGGCCTTGGCAGGACTACACTGAGGACCTTTTACATCACTGGATACTCCAGCAGCTGCTACCTCCCCAGGGATTTCTTCAAAGGGGAAAGAGGCAGTGGTGGAGGAGGGCAATTCAGCCATCCCCATCTCAGCACTGCACAGCCGACCACTCTCCAGGCGCTGGCCTTCTTGTGCATCCTCATTTTTTTCTTCAACCTTGAAGGCCGAAAACTCATCAGAGTGAGACATAATGATACGTGTCACACAGACAGCAGATGTGTACACAGGTGCTGGTCGATGGAATGCAGACCTGGGGGTAAAAGAGGGTATAAGAAACCAAATTAAACATACTCCATTTAACTAAGGTAGAAAATAATATTCAATGACCAAACTCATATGTGCATCAGAGAGGAGAAAAAACATCAACAGAAAAACACAATGAAAACAAGCTGGGTAGGAATCGGTCAGGATGGGAGATGTGTGCAGAAAGTAGATAAAGGACCCAACATGATAACCTCTCAGGGTCTGTATTGAAAACCATAATGCCCAAAAGTAGAGAGAGATTATGGGGAGGGTGGGTGGGAAAGGGGGGGTTATATCGGGGATATTGGTGGTGGGGAATGTGCACTGGTGGAGGGATGGGTGTTTGATCATTGTGTAATTATAACCCAAACATGAAAGCTTATAATTATCTCATGGTGATTCAATAAAATTAATTTTAAAAATGGGTAAGGGCATCAGGTATTGTATTTGAGGGGAATGAGAAAGATTATGGCGAGGTCTTCGGTGCACAGCTGTCCAAGGCTGAAATGATGGGAATGGCGAGGTCTTCACACTGCAGTGCTGCTTTCAATCAGTTACATATGCATTTCAGGGCATGTATTGAAGCTTAAAGACACATACTCCTGGAATATAATGGTCCTCAATAAGAAAGTTCTGCATATTGAACATAAGGGGACTTACCTAGCTCAAATGATGAGGTGCAATCAGTCCCACAGGCTCTTTTCTTCTGGACAAATTCTACAAAAGACTGGAAAGAAAGGGAAAAGTATCACCAGAAAGCACATATGACTAAGCATTCAATTCTTTATGACACTGAGGTGAGTGTATGATAGGGTAACTGTCAAATTATCCTATATTATTTGTGGGGAGCTATTTTTTCCTACTAGTTATGCCCAGGGTCCCCTAGAATCCTGAATAGAGAGATAATTGGGCCTGCACCCTCTGGGATACCCTTCAGCTGACCTATGACAAGACCCTTAGATCAAGTCCATCCTATCCCATTTTTATACTAAGAATGCACAGATTCATTTTCTATGTGAACTTTTCTAACTTTACCATAGAACTGGTCAAGTTAGTAGAATCAGATGACTTTTTCGACTCATATATCCTCCTAAACTTGAATGAGGACACAAAAGAAAATCCATGCAGAAAATCATAATTAAGGAAATTAAAACTGCAATTTTTCATCTCTACAGCACAAAAATCCTGTTCTACATGTGCTCCTTTGTGAGTTTTACCCTAGAATACAGAGAAGTCTCAGTATCTATAGTGCTCAGTTCTTTCAAATGTCAGACAACCGTGAATTGTGCCGAACAAATTCTACAAATCCCATGACGTCCGAATGCCCGAGGCAGACAGAGATGTTCGTCTCAAAGAAAGTACAAGAGGCAAGGACGTAGCCCCGAGAATACGGCTCCCTCCTTACACGCGGCGGGAAAGTTTCGAGTCGGCTCACCCCGTAGCCCCGGAACCTAGCGGGCTTCGCCGTCGCTCAGAGTCACCAGTAACCCCGAAACTACGTAGCTCTGAGAAACCCCTACCCTGCGCACGGAAAAGGAGAACTATAGGCTGATCTCCTCCACGAATGTCACTTAAGACACTTTGAAAACTTAAGAAACCCTGTCTTACTGAACTGAACTCTATCCTTACTGTGGGCCCCGGGGCCCCATCAGGATCCCTCAGGAGCGTCTGCTCTGATTCTGAGAAGAAAGATAGCACCGGGCCCGCACCCCTCACACCTCAGTGGATTCCCTGAATCCAGAGAATGGGGGAAGGGAACATGTGCCCCACAACACGCCTGGACACCCTTGGAGGTGATGGTGGGTTCCCAATGTCCACCCCCGGGGTCCGCACCTAGCCGAACTGGGTCCTCCTGCCGCACTCCTGAAGCGGAGCTCCTCACTGAGCTTCTGGTTTCCACAGGCCGCCCTCTCCAGCCGGAAGTGAGGTGAGGTCATATCCGGTTGGCACCTTTCGGGACCCCAGAGGTTCCTGGGAAACAGGAAGATGTCAAGGGGCCTCACTGTACTATCTCGCTCTCACCGTACCATCACGCCCTAACCTTGACTCAGGGAGGCTGTTTTCTGCCCACTACCAACTCACTGCTTCCTGCAAACCCACTGCATTACTTTCACTGCATTTATTTCAGTATGTTAGATGGAATCAAATGTTTCTTTTATTTGAGTTTTTAATTAAAAGGATACTCTTCTCTCTTTGATTATTTTCAGTGCTGCCTGGACTCACAGACATATAGCAGGGCTTCGAGGGTTCAAATAGCATAAGTCAGCATCATATTGAGGGCATATGGCATATCAGGGATTTAAACTCATGACCATATGCCTGCTGGATGACAGCAGGCTTTCTAAAAAGCTGGTCTTTTTTTTCCTGGGTGTTCAGTGTGTTGTTAATGAAAAGATTTTCAATGGACTTAATGCTAAATTGTATTTTCACTTGATAACCACAGTATGCTTGTTCATTTTATTCATTATTTTCTTTAATATTGGAAAGGTTAACATGTGAGAATTTTTCAGAGAATGAAAATGAGGTTATTTTGGACAAAGAAATTAGACTTGTCTCATAATCTGCTCAAACACAGCAACGGATTTAGCTGGTAAATTTGAATCATTGATATTAAGGCAGTAATTCACAAACCCATTTATTTATTTATTTGTATTGAATCACCGTGAGCTACAGTTAGAAAACTTTCATGTTTGTGTTTCAGTCATACAATGATCAAACACCCGTCCCTCCACCAGTGTACATTTTCCACCTCTAATGTCCCCAGAATACCTCCCCCCACCCCGTCCAATCCCTCCCCATGCCTCTAAGGCAGACAATTTCCCTTTTACTCACAAACCCATTTAATTTGTTTTTATTACTGTGATTAAAGTACTGGTAATAAGATTTCAAGCATTCAAGGTTCTAATACTGTATCTGCAACCCAAACATCCTTTTCCCTCCACCAAGGTCTCATTGTTCTCTTCTCTACCATCTCAAACATCTTGCTCTTGGTCGATTCCATTCTGGAAGCTGACCCTCAGGGTTTGACTCCCTTGACCCTGCGGTATTTATTCCCTAAAGATGGTTCTTTATATTCCATATGAAAGCATCTTCTCATTCATTTTCCTTCAGAAGAGAAGCAAAAATAATGCAATATCAGTTTTTGTTGTATGGTACAATCCTAGCTCTCTGGTCTCAGGAAAATTCTTGGTGTCAGAGTCAACGGTTCTCTGTCTATAGCACGGTTTTGTTGATTGTGGGACTGCAAATGCTGTATCTGCTCGTTTTCTGGTAATTACTGCTCTTTCTGCTTGGTTTTGAAGTTCACACATGCCTATACAAATCAGGTAATCCCACACTCTGTGCTCACAGGATGTTCTCAGTGTCCATCATGCACTGGGGAACAAATCTGGCCTCCTCTATGCAAGACTTTGATCATCCTATGATCTAATTCCCTAAGCCTTCATAGTATATTTTATTACTGGTGGATACTTGAAATTAGTTAGGCACCCAACACTATCATTCTTTTTGGTTACATGTCTTTCCATGGTATTGAGCGTGTTTTGCACATATATGGACAACTGATGGGAAACCAAATCAAAAGGATACTTAGTGTCCTCTACTAGCCCATCAGCTCTCCTTTCCCTTGTTCTTTGGGTTTTAGGGAACCTCAAATCATATTCCTTAAATGAACCAGGAGCTACACTTTTATTAGGATCATTCAGTGTTGAGTACATCCTGCTTATCTCATACCCCATTCCTAACACAGGGCCCCCAATATCAGATGTTAAGTGAAAATCTGAACAAGAGCCTACTGAACCCAACTATGTGTTTCATGAATTCTGCAACCGTGTCATAATTTGTACATACAGGATTTATACATGGGTATGGACAAAAATGACAAAAATGCCAACAATCAGACCCATTTTACTTTTGTCTTTTTTTATATTGCTGACAAATTCATTGACATTTCCAAAGAAATTCTCATCTCATTGCCTCGTTCCATGTCACAACTTACATACCCTTTTCACTATGGAAATAAAAGACAATTCTTGATTTTGCTTTAAATATGTGCTTAGACATATGTGACCAGTGTTATTTACAAATCAGAAACTGGACCTGGGAAAATATTCTTCTCAAATTTCTACGAAATTGAATTCCCTTGAACCATGTGTAAAGGAAGCAAAGATCCAATTTCCTTTCATCATAGAGCATGGGAACCTTCAAATGCTCTCCTCTGGGGTCCTAACTAACTGTGGACTCCATCACATCAAGTCCAAAGTGTTCTCTGTGACTTCCTGCAGCCCTGACTCAGGCTCTCTCGTCTCCATTTCTTTTAGTGCCATTAGTGGGTGAGAAAAAGTACTGGGTTGCTGCTGTTCATCTTAATCCAGAGGTCTGCACTTTTACCTGAGTAGTTTCATCATGGGCCAAACATTTTCCAAGATAGACCACATGCTGTGCCACAAAACATACCTCAATATATTCAGGAAGATAGAAATTGTATTAAATATCTAAAGGGTGTTGGGATGATCCTCCCAGGATGGTAGAAGCATGCTGAAAGTAGACTATAGACCAAATATGATTGCCACTCAATGCCTCTTTTGCAAACCACAACACCCAAAAGGAGAGAGAGAACAAAAGGGAATGCCCTCCCACAGAGGCAGGGAGGGAGGGATGGGGGGGTGGGAGGGATACTGGGATCCGTAGTGGTGGAAAATGGGCACTGGTAGAGGAGTGGGTACTTAATCATTGTATAATTGAAACCCAAGCACAAAATTTGTAAGTCTACAACTGTACCTCATGGTATTTCACTAATAAAAATTTTTTAAAAAGAATTTCCCAGAGTTGAAGATATAGGCACTCCAAGTGGTCCAAAGAGTCAGAGCAAACGTAGACTCAACCAGAAAAACACTAAGGCATGTTGTACTCAAAATAACAAAATTCAAATATAGAGACAAAATGGT